TCATTCTGTTCCGTCTCTTAATATTGCATAAGTATCAAAAATCTCGAACAATGTTTTCATCCATAAGTCACATACGTCAATTAGTAAGAATAATGTCTTAAAACTTGAATGTTTTCAATAAAGTGCTATAAGCTTATATAAGGTATGAGATAGAAACATTTTTAAGAATGTTCCTTTTTACGTAATTTTTGACACATTTTGATCAATAAGCAGCAATATTTTTTATATGGTAAGGGTGACAAACGAGCGCATAGTCCACCGGATGGTAAGTGGATGATGTGGCCTATAGACATCTACCTTTTACCTTTACCCTTGAGCTCTAAGATTAAAAAAATACCTTAGACTTTAGAAGTGAAAAGTGCTTTAATCTGCCGGTTTAGACTTTAGAGTGCAGTACAGTGCATTTCCCTTTCCCGGTCGAGGCGACAATTTGCACTGCAGATATAATAAAACTTCGGCTCTACCACGTTTAAACGTAAAATATTTCAAAGCCAAGTAAAGTCAGCCGGGATGAATTGGGGCTGTGCGGCGGTCATTTCTAAGATTTAAAATGAGAGGAGACCTGTGCCCAAAATTATGAAATACGAGTATATGCTGCAACTTTGACTTTTAACTTAGATGTTATTCGTATTTAAAAAAATTAACAATAATGTAAAATTTTTGTGAATTATATATATTATGTGTATGTATATAGCACACAAACTAACGAAATTATGTATTTCATTTCTGGAAGAAATCAAGTACTCGAACTATAAATTTTACTGAACGTTATTTAACGTTCTACAAAAGTTGTGAGCTGGTTTCGAAACGTGAAGTTTTCATAAAATTTTACATAGTTGAAGAGCATTTATCACTTACGCGCTTTAATGTTTTTTTCTCCTTCTTGCTCTTATCCTAAGTTATTTGGGGATGTCACAGCGTAAACAGCTAGATTGGTTAAAACATAAATATACTATTAAGTTTAGCATCGCAATATATTCATGGCCATACCTTAAATATCAAGAAAAAAAAATTTAAACGTCAGAAACCAGATTTCACAGAATCACTAATTCATTAATTAGGCAATGTGTATGCTTTTATAATAAAATCCGAGAATATATTCAAGGATTGTAAATTAAAAAAAAATCTAAATGTATTGAAGAAAATCTTTATCCACCGCACTATCCCAATGCGTCTTGGCGAACTTCACATGTCTTCGAATTATTTTTTCTTATTTCTCAGACATGCATGTTTCTCCACGATGTTTTGATTCATCACCGAGCAATAAATCAGCACATAAAATTGTAATTAACAATTTCATTGGTGCCGGGGGGGATCGAACCCGTGTTGCTCGCGTATTGGGAAATTTACAGCTGGCGCTTAGCCCCTGAGCTACCACCGCTTCTTTATTTTTGGTTCTTCTCTATTAGCCGTTATCTTCTTACTCACTCCTTTCTTAAGCATATCATGCGCACCCCTCACTACAATAAATAAATAATTGTTCCATGAATGCTCAGTTAATATTAAAGATTAGCTAAGAGTGTTTTTTTTTAACGTGCTGTTTTCGAGAGTCATTACGAATCGTCTCGCACGCAGACTCGACTACTTCCAGCTTCTCAAACAAGCCGGTTTCCGAAAAGGCTTCAGTACCATAGACCACATACATACCCTGTGACAGATTGTACAGAAGACCGAAAAGTACAATCTGCCACTTTGCCTGGCGTACGTGGACTATAAGAAAGCCTTTGATTCCGTCGAAATTTGGGCGGTGCTACAGTCCCTTCAGCGGTGCCAAGTTGATTGTCGGTATATCGAAGTGCTGAAGTGTTTGTACAGTAGGGCTACGATGGCTATCCGAATACGGAACCAGAGTTCGAAACCTATCCAACTGCAGAGAGGTGTAAGACAGGGTGACGTTATATCCACGAAACTCTTCACCGCTGCATTGGAAGACGTTTTCAAGCTGCTGGACTGGAAAGGATATGGTATTAACATCAATGGCGAGTACATCACTCACCTTCGATTTTCCGACGATATAGTCCTTATGGCAGAACCGCAGGAGGACCTGAGCACTATGTTCAATGATCTCAATGGTGTCTCCCAACGGATAGATCTTAAGATGAACATGGACAAAACAAAGATCATGTTTAATGTCCATGTCACACCTATGCCGGTAGTTGTTGGGAGCACTATGCTCGAAGTTGTTGACGAATACGTTTACCTGGGACAACTAGTCCGACTAGGTAAGTCCAACTTCGACCGAGAGATCAATCAACAGATTCAAATCGGCTGGGTAGCGTTCGGGAAATTACGACACATCTTCTCGTCAGGTATACCTCCAACTCTGAAAACTAGATTGTACAACCAGTGCGTGTTGCCAAAAATTATTTGGTCAAATTTCTATGAACCTTGCATTCTATGAACTTCCTAATTTGTTGTTTTTACCATACTTCAGCTATGATATTGCATGAGAAACCTGTTACACAAATTCTCCTGCCGTTTTTTATAATTGTGTTAATTGAGTAAAAAAATTAAAATATTTGATAGTACTGCAACAAAAAATTATGTATTTGACTGCTATTATTACACCAGTGTTGCACAGATGTTATGACTAAATACTACAAATAGACGGGAGGTGAATTTTTGAATCCATTGCGTCTGTTCTGGAAACTGACTTCAACTACCCGCGTCTGAACCCTAGCGTAAGCCCACAGCTATTCTCACGCCTTAGCACCGGTTATCGCCAAGCACGGCCCCGTTACAGTTATTGTTACTATTTCGACAATGGGCAAACTTATCTGTTCACAAGCCTCAAACGCATAGTCTAAGCCCAAGGCTGTGAATAGCGTAGTCGCCTCATGATAAACATCATCTCCCAAAAACATATAGCATTAAATCCGATAAGCCCTAGATCAGAGCGTATATAATTTTAAGCAAGCTTGTTCTTAGTGTTTAGCTTCTTTAGCAATATTGATAAGCTCAGCTCTTTATTTTTCTCTTACAACTTTCGCAAAGCCCATACACACTAAGCTGACGTAGATACTAAGCTAAGCTCTAGTTTACCACTAAACAGGACTTATTGAGGCAATTCTGTGGTTAAAATATGCAAAATATCCTTTCTCTATCACTTAGGATGCTTGTTAAAACAGCAGATAACACTTAACTACACTCTGAATATTTCATTCATAAACTTTTTCACGGCCTCAAGACACAGTAAAACCAAAATGATTATCTTATGCAAAGTCTGCATGTAAGCGAAAAAGTCTCCGCACAAAGTATAACTATACACTTCTGCGTCAATTAATATGAAAACGTCCGTCGGTAGTTTCGGCAGTGAAAGCAAAAATTATTGTATCGGTGTACTACCAGATGAATTTATTCAAAAAAACGTCATTTTAGGACTGCTGAATCTTGGTACCAACGTTATACTTGTTAAAGACTTGGAAGTATTTCTTAAAACCCTTTCCAATGAGATCATTAAAATTGAAAAGCAGACAAAACATACAAAAATATTTTAAAACCTTCAGTTATGTAATAAAATCAACTTCTCTAATATTTTTTATAATTTTAAAATTTGCTGCGTTTTCAATAATATAAAAGTAAATTAAAAGTACCAATTAAAAGCTGAATAGATAGAATTGAAGCAAACAGAGTTAATCGAATGACCTTTCATCAGCTTGAAAAGAAAGAAATGGAGAATAAACCGCTTCAAGTCTAGACGATACAGATAAGTATTTATTACTTACATAAATATAAACTTAAGCATACATTCTTATTAAAAATCTGTATCAGCGTGACTATTATAATATTTTATTAAATGTTTTTCAATATATTACACAATAGTGAAGATTTATACAAACTATAAATTTCCGCTTTAATGAAACTTTCAACGGTGGGGCAGTGTGAATAAAACTGCTTATATATATATATATATATATATATATATATATATATATATATATATATTGTATGGCTGACTGCGACAGACCCCAAATGAAGGGAAATATTTTCTAAGGAACGTGCGGGTAATATGATCACACTAAGCTTTGATGCCCTATAAAAACAAAACTAGGAGGACAGAGATAAAAACACAAAGTCGTATACTATAACTAATACGTGTATTAAGAAAAAAGTAGCGAACAAGCTACGGCAATCATTAGGAATACTTCGAAAAATCTACTAAAAAATACTACACCATACTAAAATTAACTTAAATATTTACTATAGTGTCAAACGTCAAAATGGCGTCGATAAAGCAGCGCCCTTTTGAGCCTTTATTATTTGAGTAACCGATGAAGAGCTATCGTATCAGAAAGCCATCTACGGAGGCAAGGCTGTAGTTTTTGAGTTCTAAGAAAGTCTTCATATCGTCGGTCGAAAACAGTAGTGGAACATTTCAAAATGAGTAAATGTGAGATATTGAGCAGTTAAAAATTAGAAATATTTATTTTTCCATTTAGCAAGTGCTTAGAGAAAAAAATATTGTTTTTAATGTTGTTATATTTTGGTTAAACCTTATATTTATGATTTCTATTAAATTCAATCATTTTTTATTATTTGTTTTTTAAGTATAAGTAAATATTTGAAATGTTCCACCACTGAATTAATTTATTGACTGCAAATATCCCTCTGACAATGGATTATTTTTGAATGTACCAGTACTGAATTAAAAGACTATGTATTTTTCTTAAGTAATGACTTAAAAATTTAGAGAACCTTAGCAAATAATTGCATTTTTAGAGAATAATCAATAAAACACTTTTATAGTTTTATAACATTTTTTTATTTATAAGTAAGAAAATATAAAAAAGGGAACAATTAGTCATTGTCAGCTTTATCTGAGGAAGCTGGCAATGTTTTATAATAATCCCAATAAACGTTTGGAATTACTTTACCATCACATAATGAAATCAATTCTTTCTTTTTAAGATTTGATATTTCAGGACGAGTGCGATATTTATTTGTCAAAACTAAGGTTTCGTTAGGCTTGCCCCGCATTTTATGCCGAACATTGAAACATTTCATTGTACTGTAAGGTTGATAAGTGTCCAAGTAAAAAATATCGAGTCATTACCCGCTGGAGTTTGAAGAACCGCTTGCATGTCATAACAACAAATAATCTTTTGTTTGTCATTTTCGCATGTTTCTATATCTATCCTCTTTTCTTCTCTGCAAAGCTCTTTTTCTGTAAGATGATCTTTATAACTCTTTTCCATTTCTTGTTTCTGTTCTGTTGTTGCATTATTGTAAGAACAGCAAAGAGAGCACTGATCCTTCTTTGGTACATGGAAAGCTATATTAAATTCAGTTCTAAAAATGTTTTCATACGTTCCTTGTTTAGCTTCAGTCTTACCTTCTTTATTACATCACTCTTTGTATTGCCTGTACATCATACATAGATTTAAATCACCATCAAAATATTGTTTAATCGATGATGCTCGACAGTAGTGTGATTCCTTAGTAGGATATGATTTTATGTGTTCACGTACTCCATCCTTAACAAAGTCAGGTAATGCGAGTAGTTTACCTTTCTTGTCATGCTTACCTCTTAAATCTTCTAAAACTATACCCGATGATGTTGTTTTCTTACATAACGTCGTTATAAATGAGTGCCCAATATCCAAAGTGTGCATAAAGAACTTTTTACATACCCTTATAATTATACCATCTACTGTTAAATGATAAGCCGCATTAATAGATCTTTAATTTACTCTGAGCATTATGTAGCGAATATTTCAGCTTTACTTCTTTCATAGCATTTTTGACAAAATCTCGCTGTCCATTCAAATCACCTAATTTCCAAAAATTATTGAATATTACTTATTTATTATTACTTAATCTTTGCTGCTCATTAATCTTCAGTGTACACTTCAACCGACATTTGTCTCCACAACCAGGTTTTAATTGTTTAGCATTAACTAATTTTCCTTTCTCAGTAGTGTAAGCCATACCTGAATTTTTTTAAACATTTATTTTTATTTTTCTTCCATGCCTCGGGATTTCGTTGTCTCTTTCTTGTCAACTTCTTCTTTTCTTCCGAAGCATTATTTTTAGAAAGCGGGGTTGATGGTGACGGCTCTCTGTTATTTTGTATATTATTTTCTTTATCTTCTCCTCCCCCTAAAATTTAAATAAGCTCGCCGCCTAAGCAAACAAAGACCCCGTTTAAAGCTATTGCATAAATAATTTAGAACTATGAAATACATGTTGATGGGCAGCAAGCTAGTTTATTAAAATAGTACAAAATATCATACTTAGATTAGAAGCTTCATTTGCTGGCTCATGCTGGCTGGCTACGAACCTTATCGTCTGTACACTTTCCATATTTATTACCTGCTCTACACCTTAAAAGAAATTCAAACAGTTAAATATACACACTATACCAAAACACAAAAATAATATATGCAGATAGGTACGTAGGTACCTCTATTATGTACTTAAATACATGAAGATAGGTACGTACTTCGATTATGTACTTCATTCAGGGGCCAAGAATTCTCTTCAACATATTGCTGTATTTCACCAACTTCATCATTATTAGATATAAAAATAGTGTCTGGAGATTTTTCTATGTTCAAAGTCTGTTCAGCATCTTAAAAGCAATAAAAGCTGTTAATAGGACAGAATTTTTAATAACATTTATTAGATATAAAGCACAAAAGTTAATAAATAAGCATATCTTATAAAATACATAAGTTATTTACCTAGGCTTTGTACTTCATTTTGTGGCAAAGAATACTCTTCAACTTGCTTTATCTCACTTTTTGTAGAATAAAAGTGGTTAAAAATATAGCTAAAGCGTGCAAAATTTTAAAAGTAACGACTCTACAAAATACACAAACGTTACAAATACACTCCTTTGTTTTCAATATTGGCGTCTTCATGGATTACCATTTGCAATATTTTCATTGATCTTCCATATAACTTAGACACAGACATTTTTGCAGATTGTATTACTTTTGACAATATGTCTACCAAGCGCAGCATGCAGCGCGTAAGCGTAACTAAACAAACGCGCGCGAGACTCGAGCGAGATCGAGAAGCGTGGTGGAATAAATTCAACTTTTGATTTTGAGATTGGAACCGTTTTGGAACATTTCGAAGTGTCCCAATACTGAATAATACTATATGCACAGAGTAGAAGTGGAACTTTCATTTTTAATCGACTTCTATCTGGAGTTTGACTTATTCTGATACTGATATAGAATTGGCACTGAAATAGTAATGTAACACTCTTAAAAAGTTAAAAACCAAATTTTCAGAGATGTTCCACTACTGTTTTCGACCGACGATATTATAACCGGATGACCACATTACCCTCACGTACAATAATTATAATTATACTGTTTTATTTTATTATAACAAACCAACTTATCTTATATATTATAACATAAAGATATGCGATGCAAGAAAAGTATTGATAAACTATAACTAAATGCAATTACAACTAACAATTTCGGTGATACCGGCCGGGATAGATCACGGGACGACAGAGAGCGATTGATTTAGCTACTATTTAAAAAAAAATGAAATATTTTGAAGATGTGTAGTCTGCCAACATGCACTTGAGTAGATTGGTGGACTAATTGCTTCTTAACTATCATTAAGTATAGGAGTAAGTAAGTAAGTGTAAGTAGATCTGAGTACATCAGTGTACAAAGTGTTAATAGTGTGTACAATGCTTGTTAGTTTCATACCTGATTAAATTTTAGGACCTGAGTTTGATATTCAATTGACTGTGGCTTTTAAGATAGACATCGCTTAATTTTGATAAAGTTGCATTTGTACAGGCTAAGTTTGCTCGTTAAAATGCAAACACTATTCAAAGTTTTCTTGTTTGTTCTCTTTATTGTTGTTCACTTTGTTTGACAGCTCCATAGCGCATAGCGCAGTGGCTTAGCAATGAGTTCCAGTTCTAAGGCCTGCGTGTTTGAATCCCGCATTGATTAAGTATTTGTATGGCCTACAAATAATTGTTCCGAGTCTGAATGTTTGTCCTTGTGTAATGGCATGAATGATACCTCAAAATAAATAGCAATAATCAAGCATCTTTTCAAAGGGATTTAAACGAAAAAGCACAGCCTTGTTTTTTTAAATGGCTAAGCACAGTATTTATAAATTTTAGATTTTTTTCATAAACTTCAAACATCTGTAAAAAATTATCTAATAATACATGTGCCTAAAATATCTTATTATATTGCCTACAAATGACTTTAATAGAATAAAATAAAAAAATTGGGTATTTTCGCTACAAATCATAAATTCTTATTTTAAAAAACTGCTTAGACTTCATCTAAGACTAGCATGGCTTAAATGGTTCTAAATTGTCTATAATATCGCCCCTTGAAATCTTTGCATCCATCTCCCAATCACCCCGTATTTTTATTTATTTATTGGAGCCATATTATAGAATATGGATAACAAACAGGCATACAGTATACATTATACTTACATTTATAATCGATATTATCTTCCAAATTTATTCATCTATATATATTTACAAATGCTTCTAATTTGTTTAAGCGATTTACGTTGGTTTAGTTCACTACATTTATCAATACGAGTAATAGATTTAAATCGTACATCCTATTCTAAACCCAATTTCCTGAACATGACATTAATTCAGTGAAAGTTGTAAATTGAAGACATTCGTATGCTTAGGTACTTACTCAATGTTTGCTTTATTATAATATGTGTATTTGATTATACTATAATTTCATTAAAAGCAGCATAAATTTTTATTAATAAAAATGGCTTCTTTAAAGATTTTTTCTAGAAATATTCGAACAACGTTATTATCTAGCTGTTTTCGATAAGCCTAGGAATAAAAAAGTTGTTATTACTTCTTTTGAAGGGATTAAACTTGAAACATCTTTCAGATTAAACCAGTGTTAATATCATTAAAACGGTATATTTTTTAAACTATTTTATAACTGAGACTACTTCTAAGGATAAACTTTTATGATGTTACTAGCTTCTACCCACGACTCCCCTCGCGTTCAATATAGAACCAACATAGAAATCTTATGAGATTTTTGGCCCTAGAAACTTATAATAAAATATAATATTAGTAAGATCAATAGGACTGTAAAACGAACAACTATATCTTTTAGAAAGTAACTGTTCGGTGCTCCGTTATAATTAGTAGAATATCCTATAATACATTTTCCATTAATTTATTCAGACAGCCTATGAAACTTATTGTGTTGAACTTATTTATTTCAAAATGTGTATTTTGGTAACGAAATTTGTCATACGATTGAAATGATACTAGTTTTTACGGAATTTATCGCGTATATTTAACTTTTTAAATACTCGACGTTTCGAGAGCTTTATAGCACCCATGGTCACGGGAAGGACTGAGATGTTCAACGTCCAGATGTCATAGTTAACCGCGGTTACCATAGATTAAACACATAGAGCGCTAACCATCTTTAACCGTAAAAGTGTACTTTTATGGGCTAAAACACTAACTGTCCTAGCAGATGTTGTTCTGCCCGTTCCGGTAAGTGGCGCGATGTGTGTACACCGAATGCACTCACATTTTACATTGTAATTGTAACATGTATTAATAAATTTAGTAAAGTGTCACTAACATAAAATATTACGCTTTTTTATTACTTCTAATGGACACATTATGTCGTTCAGGTATCCAATAAATAAAAATATGTCACCATAAACTCAAAAAAAAATAGTGATAAAATGAGTTCTGATGCTACATCCGGTAATCATATTTAGTGGTAGTAAATTACAAATACGACTTGATGGGTATATTTTATTGGAATTAGCAAATCCGTATTTTTAGCTTGTGATTATTTAAAGCCGAAAGCCGTGTTAGTTCAGAGGATAAACTCAGATAGTATATGGAGGAGAGACCTCAGACGATACTGCTGAAATTGTTGATTGCAATTTTAAGTTCTGATTTACCATATGTAGTGACGGAGTAATAGAAGGAAAATTGTAAAAGTGGAGAGAATTTGCAGGACATCAGCACATTTAACGCTGCTCCTCGTCGTTAACCTGGTCTTTCCCAATGCGTTAACAAGATGGTTCTACCGTCACATATACGATATGTGCTATTAGATGTTTCTAGAATATCCGATAGTCGCTGCCTATATCCATGGGACAAATGGTGTCATGATTTTTCTTAGTCACCACATATAACTTACATGATGATTAGCTCGAAAATCTACCAAAACGTGCTTGCTGGCTGGCGTGAAACTGGTTTACCATTCTGACTTACGGTTATTTGACTGACTTCCCAAGAACCTAAAACGGGATCTGCCTGTGTCAGAAGTGGAAATTTACGGGCTGTTGAAGAAAAGAAGAAGGTACACCGTAATTACTTACGCAACTTCAATACTGCTCGTATTAAAGAAGTGATCGAGCAGAAACAGGGCTTCAATGTCTCTGCCAGAGATCTGTCTGCCAAAAATAGCCGGTTATCAAAGCTGAAGACTGAGTGTGGTAGCATCGTTTCTGGGACATTTGACATTTTGAGTAATATTGAGAGAGTTTCATTTAAAAAGTTAAATATACGCAAGAAATTCCGTAAAAACTAATATTATTTCAAAATATTGAGAGGTTCCATGGGTAGTCGTACACATCATCGTTGGAGCCAGGTGCAAGTGTGAGTAACGATCTGAGACCAAATCTTTTGCGACAATATTCCGATAATATCCCGGACGTCAGTTTGAGCGAGATTAATATGGCTTTTCAGTACCTTAAAATCGGCAAGATCATAGGCAGTGATGGAATTACGACGGAGTTTCTGAAAGCGGGTGGAAAACCGGTACTTAAAGTCCTTCAGGAGCTCTTCATTTCCGTCCCCTATGGTGGCACTACTTCGGAAGTGTGGGGCAGAAATATGGTGGTTGGTTGCGCGGAAAACCATTCGTATTTATTTATATTTGACAGTAGGCTTGCCAAATCGTTTATCCCTTTCCAAACGATATCATTCATACCCTCCTATCAACACATCGGGGGTGGTGGGGTGAGAGGGGAAAGAAGATGATTCTAGAATATTACGCGATCATCGCAACCGAAGGAATAAAAAGGCACGCGCAGCCGACGCGCACGCTCTTCCCGCCGCGCTCGTCGTTGGAACCACACCACTTAAGACAATAGTGTCATAGAAGGGCTATTGCCCACGCGCACCGCTAGTATATCCGCTTTAGCCTGGAAGCAGTCGAGCTCCAGGAAACCCGCCTCACCTCGTGTGAGAAATAGTCGCGCACCGCACTCTCTCCCGACGCATCACCGGACAAGAAATGCTGGGGCCCCAGAGTGTCTTCCAGAAGTCGCAGCAACATAGTGCCCAAGCCGCATAGAAGCAACACCCCGGTGAGTGAATATTCCTTACTAGTTCCTGCTTGATATAATTGTGTCTAATGGTTAATCCGCTCCAATTTATTTTCTCCTAATCAAGCAGGATTCCTTTCATAGATTTGGCAAATAATAGTTCGTTTTAGGGAAGAGCGAGTGCATTGTATGGGAAACCGCGTGCTATAGTCGCCATTTTATGTAAACGTAGAAGCATTTCACATATACAGTCCATTTTGGGTTTAATATCTCGCGTAATAGGTTTAAGGCTCGACCGGGGAATTGGACTTCGGTAACCTTAGGCTCGTCGCTCCACCAGTGGTCTTGGTCTCCAAGAAAGGTGATAATGCTCTCTTGAAGAACTATAAATCGACTTTCCTTCTGAGCCGCGTCTACGTGCTGTTTTCGAGAGTCATTACGAGTCGTCTCGCACGCAGACTCGATGACTTCCAGCCTCCCGAACAAGCCAGTTTCTGAAAAGGCCTCAGTATCATAGAACACATACAAACCCTGCGGCAGATTGTACAGAAGATCAAAGATTACAATCTACCAGTTTGCCTTGCGTATGTGGACTATGAGAAAGCCTTTGATTCCGTAGAAATTTGGGCGATGTCGCTTCAACCAACCAGCGGTGCCATGTTGCCTGTCGGTATATCGAAGTGCTAAAGTGTTTGTACAGTAGGGCTGCGATGACTATCCGAATACAGAACCAGAGTTCGAAACCTATCCAACTGCAGAGAGGTGTGATAGGATGACGTTATATCCGCGAAACTCTTCACCGCTGCATTGGAAGACTTCCGCTCCACGCCTCGGGAGTAGTGCCTCCATGGAGAA